TACATTGTTCATTATTGTTCTACTCATTGAATATGGAAATATCAAAGTCTTTAGAGTTAAACTTCCAAGGCATCTAGAGTTCGAGGGTAAATCTAATGTAATGTGTTCAAACTTGTACGAAGCTTTCTCGAGATAAAGACTAACTCTTGATTTGCATATCCAGAGTTAGACACTTAGAAGATTTCCCGAAAGTAAAGATCGAACTCTACCATACTAGAACACGTGTCAAATATCTATTAGGCTGTCATGTATCTACTTGTATCTTTATCATTTGTGTTCCAGTATAAATATGAGTTAGTTAAAGCTTGTTTTAAGTAACTCTTGTAATAAATTGTATAGAACTTGTAATTCTCTGATCTCATATCATTATTCGTAATCTTCTCATAATATCAATGACATGATGACTTTCTCAATCTATGTGTCCGTTGTTCTTGCTTAATCCTCTATATTATTAGATATTTTAGTAGACAGAAACTAACATTTTTCATGAGATCCGTGAGATCACCTAAAGAACACTAAACATTCACAACAAAAACTGTGAACATAAACCTTCACAGTGTATTTGCTGTGAAAGTAAGAAGTTTTTTTATCTTTACAATGTTTTGCTGTGAAGTTTCAGTGTTATTTTGTGGTCTCACGAGTTTTACACAAACATACTAGTCTCATGTGAAACCCAACCCTATATATAATATATTATTGTTTTTTAATTAGAAGAAGACAAAAAGAAGGTAAAATGACTAAATTACCCCTGAGTTAATGGATTAAATTTAACATTGTTAAAGACAAGGACTCAAAAAGCAACAAAATGTAAACCACAAGAACGTTAAGTGTACTTATTTTGAAAGATAGACCATATCCATATTCTGAGCAAATCACGAGGGCTATAATTTACTTTAGAAAATAATTTAAAAGTACATTGTTGTAATAAAAAATGAAAGTAAAACTGTTATAATAAGAAAAATGTATAAAAGTATGTTGTTATTTCATGTATTTAATCATTTATAATGTAATCAGTAATTTATCATAACGTTATCAAATCTTAAAGAGATTACTATTTTACCAATCAAAATAGGTATGAACTAAGGGCTCTTAATGGTGCCATTAAGAGGCAACCTCTGAATCGCACAGATGTGAGCCTTGTTTAGGGAAAAAATTAAAGTCTCTTATTGGTCCCAAAATCCTCTTAACCATTTTGTATACCCTTTCACACTTTCTCCTCTCATATTCGGTCTCCCTCCTCCTACACTTTCTTCCCACAGTTTCATGTAACTCCTTCCACGGTTGTCCGATTATTTCTTCTTTGACCCTCGTCCCTCACCCAGTTGCCTCGTCCCTCACTCAAGAAGCCCCCAGACTTGAATGAATCAGAAGTTCAGAACCCTAATAGTCTCATATATCATGTTTGAATAGTATACCAGTACCAGCTTTCTTATATTTGATAAGGCTCTTTTCTTTGTTGTGAGTTAGGCATGATGGTACTTATCTCGGAGTTCAGGAATGCCAAAAATGTTATTATTTGTCTTTACTGGACATGAGCTCGTTTACTAAGTGTCTTGTAATACATTCATTTAACAATTACTCATAGTCCATTTCGACAAAAAGTTCTAACATTGTATATCTACCCATTAATTACTTCCAATTCTGAAACCATTAATTTCCTCGATAGACTTTGATACATTACCTTTTGTATGTGCACAAAATTATTATTCCAAAATGTTACCAGTGAAACTCCAATTTGGCGTCTAAGAGAATTATAATATGTGAATTTTGTGCTTTATATCCCTTTGGTTGAATGCTTAGATTCATTAAGCTTTTGGCTATATTAAGATTTAAAGGGTTTCAATTGAATTTTAGTTGTGATGCGAAGTTCATGTTGTGTTGAACTTTTAGGGTTTGTTTTTTGATTAATTTTGTGGGTTTGTAGGGAGACAACATGTTTAGATTGGTGGAGGGCAAATTGAGAAATGTCAAATAACAATACACATGGTTAAAATGGTAATTTGTTATCATCCAGACTGTCCTCAGAACTATTACCATAGACCCATATTTCATTTTGCTTATATCATATAGAGCTACTTAAGCATTTGACCACTTAACAATTTTGCATCAAACCATTCAACAACTACCGAACAACCCTAAGAATGATTAAGTCTTTCAACATTTTTTGAATAAAATAAACCATTGAAAGTTTCCATTTTGAATGATTATCTTTGAACATTTTTAAATAAATAAACACTTGAACTTTTAGAAATACCAATTTATATCATTTTTACCCCAAAAAGTTGCATTTAACCGGCTACAATGTTTTGGAGCTAAAAAAACTAAATCAGTTTTACTGTTTTCAAAACCTAAGCCATTTAGACCCCTGGCATCCAATGGCATCACTCCCCCATCGTCGCCCCATTGTTGTCCATTGTCATTGCACCCTTCATCGATCTTTCTCTTTTTGATATTTTTTGTCTTTGAATTCTCCAACTTTTCTAACAATATATGAAGTCTACATAGACAGACAAAAAAAGGAGAATTGAAAACAAAAAGAAATAGATAAAAAGAGGAAGATCGACGCGAGGGACCAATGGTAACGGGCAGTGATGGAGAGCAGACAACGATGACGTTGTGAGGGTGACGAAGGGGAGCAATATGTTGGGTGTGAGGGGATTGAATAACATAAGGTTTGGAGACGATAAAATCTATTTAGGTTTTTTTACTTTAATTTTTTTCTAGCTGATTTCATATAGCTTTCTAGGTTAAAAGGATATGGGTAATTGATTTCTAAAAATTTGATAGTTCATTTACTAAAAAAATATTTAGGCTACGTTTGGTACATGGGACAAACAGGACAGGACAAAATGAGACAAAACTCACTGTCCCACATTTGGCGTGACACGGAACAGGATAAGAACGCGTTGTCCCACGTTTGGTATGACACAGGACAAGGACAATAACTGGGACAACGTGGGACAAAAAAAATATTTTTCTTGTTCCACCAAAATAGGTGGAACAAGATGGGACACAAATGAGAGAGAAACTAAAATATTACTAATTAACCCTCGTTTGATATATTATATTAATATGCGATTTGCTTTAGTGACCATCACCGCTAGTCAGGGCCACCGCCACCACCAGTAGCCACCTCCTCTTCCACTACAACAACTTCATCCACTACCTCTAGAACCACCATCAACCACCGACCATTGACCACTATTGTCCATTATCACCTCCACAACCACGTCGACCACTGACCACCACCGTCAATCACCACCACCACCACCACTCTTGACCACATCCACTTTTTTCTCGACTATAACAACCTCCTCCACCACCTCTATAACCACCGTCGACCACCGACCATATCGTTCATCACCATCATTATCACTGTCAGCCGCCGACCACCACTGTTCATCGCCACCATTAGTACCACCATGGGCCACATCACCTCCACCATCGGGTACCACTAACACTGCCCACCACCACCAACTACCACTACCCACCACAACCACTACATCAGCCATAACTACTTCCTCCACCATTATCGACTGCCAGCACCACCACCTTTACCTCCTCCACAATCACCATCACCACCTACACCTCCACCATCATCTCCACCTCCACCATAACCAACACCATTACTACCTCCACCACATCGGTCACAACTACCTCCTCTAGCACTGTTGATTGCCATCACTACTTTATCTACCATCTTCACGTTATCCACAACCACTATCGACCATTGGCCACCACCGTTTATCTCCACCACCACTAGCATCGTCGGTTACCACCACCTCCACTATAACCAACACGACCTCCACTTCCACCATAAGCACCAACACCACTGCCCAACACCACCACTACTTCCACCACATCGACCACAACTACCTCTTTCACCACTATCAACTGCCACCACCACTACTACCCGCCATCTTCATTTCCTCCACAGCCACCATTGTACACCAATCACCAATGCCTCTGCCTCCACAATCATTGTTGCAAATTTGTCCAATAGTCACAAATGGTGCCTCCACAGGTTGACATCCGATCCAACCTAGTAGTAAGCGATCCGCCAAAAGCAACCAAAATATTCCTTGGTGAATCGGGCGAAAACTTGAACTACGGACATACATACTTTTAAAAAAAGGTAAAGCCAACAGACATATAAAAACTGGTGCTATTGCGGCTACACCTCCCGCTTTGTCAGGTATACTACGAAGAATGGCATGGATCGGTAGGAAATACCATTCCGGTACAATATGAGGCGGGGTGGGCATCGGATTAGCAGGTATATAATTGTCGGGATGCCCCAAAACATTAGGAGCATAAAAAAGAAAAATGGAAGAAAAGATAGCAAAAGCTACCCAACCTACTAGATCCTTTACATAAAAATAAGGGTAAGAAGCAATTTTATCCATCTCTGAATGTACACCCAATGGATTATTTGATCCATATTGATGCAATGCGGCCAGATGAAGAAGACTGGCGCCTACTAAAATAAAGGGGAGTAAATGATGAAGACTAAAAAAACGATTTAAGGTTTAAGCACAATTTTTACCATGTTTTCGTCAATTTATAAGGATCTTCCAAATCGAGTAATATAAATTGAGTTTTTTCAAACTACCATCAATCATATCAAAATTTTCATTTAAATTTGGTACTACTATATATGTATGTGAAAATTATGCAAACATGTTTATAAAATAATTTATTTACTTTATCTGTGTTAATTATAACTATTATATAATATATAAAATCATCAGATAACTTTTGAGGATAACTTGTTTAGTTTTATCATGTTCGGTTCTAGTGGTACCAAATATGAGGCAGATACTTGTTTTGTCCAATCTTGTTCCATTTAACCTAGTTCTTTCCGATATTATTCAATTATATTTTTAAGTATCGAAGGATATGTTATAAACTTATCATTTAAAATAAGATTGTTAAATACTTTATATATTAAAAAAATCTCATGAACTCGATGAATCAAAATAGAAAAGCATTGGGTTATTTGCTTTTATGGTCTACCATTGGCGACTAAATCTCACATCTCACAATCCCGATTCAATTTCGACAATACTCCCTCCCTCCCTTCCTTCCTAGGGTTCAGGTAGTTGACTACCTCTTCTGATCCTTCAATTTAGGTGATTCGATTTCAAGTGTCGTGCACACGGTCAATCACCAAATCTAGGGTTATTCAAATCAAATCAATGTAATGTACAATACATTCTTTGATGGCATCAACCAATTCGCCCTCATCATCTTACAATGAAGATTGAGGGTTTTGCTTTATTCTCTTCGAACCTGCTGTTTTTTTGTTGTTGTTGATGGCGGCGCCGAGGATTCTGGTGCTGGAGTCCGAAAGGTTGATGAGGGATGTAGAGATGGGTGAAGATTCCCCTACTACTAAGAAGCCTGTAGGTTCTAAATTAGAAAGGAGATTTCCTCTGACTAGATGGGAATTCGCGGCGGCTTTGGGTGTTTTCTTGGTTTTTGCCATCGGGTTGTTCTGCATTTATCTGACAATGCCAGCTGCTGACTATGGTAAACTTAAGCTGCCCCGATCCATATCGGATCTGCGAATCCTCAAGTACGCAACAGAATCCAAATTCTTATCTTTGTGCTTTATTACAATTTTAATTATTGCTGATCTGAATTGTAGTAATATGGAATTATGCCTGTACTAGGATTTCTTATGGTTCTTTTCTTTTTGTAAGTTGGGAATTATGTGAGTGGTAAGTAATATGGGTTCTTTTGGTAGTTGAGCTATCAACACCTCTCACCTTTAGATCTTTTTTCAATCTAGTCAAGGTTTATCATGTCCTCTAAACTGCTGAAACGAATTTGATGTACTTCTTATGTGGTGCCATGCCTTAACTTATAGCATATCATTTAAGGTTAACAAATGAGAACATAAACTACAAGATAATGTTGGTCATAGCCAAAGTGATATATTAGTAATATTTACAAAAAGATGGATTCAATTATGCATAGGCAGAAGGATACATATAGATACAAAATTATAATAAGAAATCAGCCTAGTGTTTTGAGTTCGAATATGAAGAGAAACTTGAAGAATAGGATTGGGCATTCATCACTGTTCATACATATTATGAGGTAGATAGAGTGCATGGACACATGGTGCATCTTTGGGCCTGGACAAAATAATCTAGAAACAAATGACGCAACTCTACTTAATAGACATAATGGGGATAACCCGAGGATCACTACATATCAGTGACACTACTCTTAAGTTGAATTGTAGATGTCCATCATCTTCAACTTGCTGCAGATGAAATCTAATGGATTGGTCAACATATTTGCAAGTTGATGATACACTGAAAGATGTAATGACCAATGGTTACGTCTGTGTGATGGTACAAGTACAACCCACCCAGTCAGCATAAGAAAACCTGGAAATGTTGCCATGTCCCTCTTTAGTGAAATCTACAACACTACCCCTTATCAGAAGACAAGATCCCATTGTGTGGAGACCCTGTGAGATATCTCAGTGTACAGAGGACAGCCTTCGAATATTCCATATCTCAAAATTGTCCCTTTCTTTGTCAATCATAAGAGCAACCTCATTGATATGATCAATTGTTTTTTATTTTGATCGTTTGGTGGGTTAACTAGTTGACCCTCTTCTCCCATGTATATTCCTTGATCACCTTTCAAGACTGGGCTTCTCTCTAGCAATCAATGGATCATCAATGGAACTTTCAGGAGGCAATGCCTTGTAGTTTAAGGCGTTTCCAATAATACTCTGTTGATTAAAAAAATTAGGTTGCTGGTAAATTTAGAAAAGAGTGGAAGATTACCGATCCCAACTTACCTCAACTCTGTATTACTACTTACATGCATTTGCTTTAAATATTTTGGAATGGATCAGTCAAAGGCCAAACACCAGCATAGTGGAAATTTTGTCATGCTTAAAGTTGTTAAAGGCTCAAGGCGCAAAGGGGTCGTGAGGCCTAGGTTTGAGGCGCAGGCCTCTGGAATGCAAGGCGCATCTTATCAATATATATACACAGAGCTATACACAACTCAAATATGCAGTAAATACAAGCTTCTAATGCAACAACCAACAGTACTTCAATAGAGGCACAAGGGTTTAAAGCGTGAGCCGGGAAGGAGAAGTTTTGAGGTCTAGCTATTTATAGAGAAGGAGGCTTGAAGTTCTAAGGACTGGGTATTTAATATTAGGGTTTGACGTATGTCATCTATTTATTAACACTTTTTGAAGAAGTCTAGGAGCTGAGAAGATGAGACAACTTATTTAATCTTAGGGTTTAACTAGGTATTTAATAACTCTTTATGAGGCGCACCTAGGCCCACAAGGTGCCTCAGCCAAGGTGCAGTGCCTTAGTGACCTCGTGAATATGACGAGCCTCGCCTTGAAAAAAGCCCAAGACCTTGAGCCTCATAACCCTCGGAGCCTAGGCGCCTCTAACAATCATGCTTGAAACATTCTTCTGATTTGAGTGGAATGATGTCAAATTTTTATGGTCTGATATATCAGTTTTAGCACCAAGGTCTAAGAAGTTAACATTGATAAGTTCATACCAAAGGGTTATTAGTGGATGAAGAAGCATGACTATAACAATATCCAATCAAAATTCATAAGATATAACCCATGTTTTCTTTGTTGCAACTTACAAGGATATAGAGCATTGTACTAGAATTAACAATCAGGTATAAAAGGCTTCATGTGTTAAAATTGTGATTCGTGGTGTCCTACCCACATTATTCATATATTGAAGGAATGTTTCATAGATTAAAATCTAAAATAAACCTACAAAAGCAACAAGTTATCTTTGTGGTCGTTATGTTACTAACAAAAGTAATATGTTTAAGATGAAAAGCAGGAAACTAGGAACACAATAACAAAGCTAGTAACTCATGGAATTCCTAACATTTTCACTAAGCTGGAGTGTGTTTCAGCTCACCACCTTTCTGATATGCAGGGAAAGAAATCTGTCTTAATTTCCATTTTAGCCCAACTTCTAATAATAAAATATTTGAACTCTTGTGTCTTATCTTTTTTGTTGTAAATTTATCTTGTGTCCACCATATTCTTGGTCATCAATGTGGAGTTATGGTTAAAGCTACATCCATCCCACCACACTGGGGAGAACTGCATCCTGTAGCAGCAGTTCGTTAGTTTTTGGTGTGGGAACCACACCATCACTGTGGTGGCTTATTGTTATTTTTATTCATATGGCTTCCTGTATCAAGCATTTACATATTACCTGAACTTGTTGGTCAAACTCAAAATATCACAAAACAATTCACTGATTGCTACTTGTGAATTTAATGATATGTCCTCGTGGAGTTGTTTTCCGATATATTGTCTATAAGTTGTGGTACGTGCTCTATAATCTTACCTTCGGGAAAGTACTCTTAAGAATGTTCTTTGCATTGTACGGCAAGTTTTAATTGATCCCAGCCTTACGATTGATACCAGTGGTTAGTCCTATCTATACTATATTTTATAAATTAAAGCATTTGAGTTTTTATTCTTAAAAACTCTTATTTTTTCAGGATACAATGAAGCATCTAGTATAAATCAATAATGCATTCAAAATCATTCAATCTTTATATTGTTTCCTATTTTACCCCTTTTTAGACAATAAGAATGCAAGCTTTAAGGAATTTTGAAAACTCATATTACTCTTTCCAAATGATCGGATCAAGTTTTGGGTACACATATCGGTATATATTTTAAGTATGGAAGCTTTAAGGGATTTTCTTTTTTTAACTAAAGTAGATTACCCTTTACTTTTAAATACTAAAGTCTAGATTATCTTTAAATTAATAAATATTTTAATTAAAAAAATTATATAGAAAAAGAGAGTATTTTATTCTCTCCAATTGGATACACATATCAGTATATATTTTTTTCTTAGTTTTTAACTGGTTAATACATAAACTGATATGTCATGAACTAATGTACATATTCATCATGAATATTCATGTGTATGCTGCAACCCTCCACATCAGTATGATATTTATTTTGAATATCTTAAAATTCACGTTTGAAAATTATTATAACTCATGTACAAAACCATAACAATAAAATTAAGACGACTTTCTCACTCTCTCAAAACCACATGCAACCATAAAAAGAATTAATAGGGACGGTAAATGAAGCATGAAATAGGATTGAAAGTTCGAATCTCAACTTTATAATCAATTTCATTGTCCGGGTTAGTTTTCGATAAAGAGCCTCATCACTGAGTTTATTATATTTAGTTACTGAGCAAATGTTGATAAACCTGTAGGAGGGAGATACATAAATAGGAGGGGCCTCTTTGTTTAAATTCCCTAGATGCATCGCACTACCTAAGTGGTCTTCTTGCCTGCATATCCTTACAGCAGTTATGCATGTAACTGTCCTCCCATCTGCAGGAGGAAAAAATAAGACATGGTCTAGCTAACCTGCTGTATGTACGTCTAGCCTTGTCTAGTTCCAAGTTACTGTCTAGATCCTAAAGTATGCCAAAAGTATACATAGGCCCGTGCGAATCCTGATTCGTGAAATGCATAAACTCTCATAAATAGTGATAAGGAATCCTTAAAATGGTAAAGCAGTAAATATTAAACACTTCAGCAATATGCTATGAGTAGCTTGATCACAATCATGTTTTTCTGATTGATTTAAATGTGTGTATGTTTTTTTTTTCAGAGAGCACCTTGCAACATATGCAAGCATTTACCCAACAAAATTCATTCTGGGTTACTGCTCCACTTACATATTCATGCAGACATTTATGATTCCTGGGACCATTTTCATGTCATTGCTTGCTGGAGCCCTTTTTGGTATAATCAAAGGCATCTTCTTGGTTGTCTTTAATGCCACTGCTGGTGCATCATCCTGCTATTTCCTGTCAAAGCTAATTGGCAGGCCCATAGTTTACTGGCTATGGCCAGCAAAGTTAAAATTGTTTCAGGCAGAGGTATATATAAGTTTTTGCTTCAAACTTCCACTTGACTATGCTTAATCTATTTATCACATCTACTAACCCTTTTAAGTTTTATTTAATCCCAGATAGCAAAGCGTAGGGACAAGTTGCTCAATTACATGCTCTTTTTGAGGATAACACCAACTTTGCCAAACCTTTTTATCAATTTGGCATCACCAATTGTGGATGTACCATATCCTGTATTCTTTTTGGCTACAGTTGTTGGTCTTGTTCCAGCCTCGTACGTTACTGTGAGAGTAAGTGATTTTTGTTTCAAACTGGTTTCATAAGCTTTAACTATTCCGTTGTTTATGTTTCTGTAAGCCTTATGTGGGAGTTTCATGTTGCATCAGCATTGATCTTTATTGCTTTATTTGGCATTTTGTTCATGTTTTTCTCTTCACATTATTTCCCTCAAGAATAATTTGTTCACTTTACCTTAAATGTAGATTATGAATTTGAAATAATTTCATTGGTCACTATATCATATCAATTGTATGAGGCTAGAGGATAAATGACTACGATCTTGCATCTTTACTTTCATGGGTGTGAAGTTTTTCTAGTTATCGGTGGGGAAAGAAATAGTTCCTTAGTATACAGGTAATTATTAATTTTTAAAACATTTTACGCGTCCTTGATATTTTTGTGGATTTGTGGTGGATAAAGGAATAAAAAACGCTGCATGAAAATAGTAGTATAATTTTAGAGACCATGTATGGCGATTTTGATTTTCCAATACTAAAATAGGGGACTTCACCTCCATCTTATGGAAATGTAAGATCCCCTTCCTTTACGTTTATTGGTTTATTTTTATTTTTTGAATATGTGCATGCCACTTCTCACAAATGTAAATCTCCAACATGTTTCAGTCAGTATGCTTGGTTTTAGCATTTTTTAGTAGGGTGCATTTTGTTAGCACCGGTGTTTTAGAATTTAGTGGCACCACTAAATACTCGCAGACTTTCCATTTGATGAAATGGTGCGGGTCTTTTTTTCTAATTTTTCTGATTAATTTATCTTTTTTATCATACCATATTATCATGTCACGTCATCAGATGACAAGTTTGATGGTATATTTAGTCGGTTACATATTTACCCAAAGTCTAGAGCCACCTAAAAGTAAATATGATTAAATATCTTTTGGACCAACATAAGACATAGTAAATGGATTGGATGCAGTTGTGAATGATAGGATGGTTCATTTTTTATTTGGTGGAAAACAAATAGCTTATGTTTTTAAGCATAGTTGCATAGCTCAGGAGTCGGTGATTGCTGGCTGAAGCTATCATGAAAGTTGAATAGGGTGATGCTAAAAAAGCATAATGCATGTATAAATATTATTGTTTGTCTTGTTATATGCTATAGTCAGTATAAAACATGCAATTCAAATGCTTTTGATTGGTATACATGCTATAATCAGTATAAAACATGCAATTCAAATGCTTTTGATTGGTAAGGTTTCATGCACTTTGAATGTTTTACTAGAACATGTTCTTTTTGAATATGCGTGGGTGTTTGGGCCAGCTTTCTCAGCTAATCCCATTGAGCCCTCAAGTTATCAGCCAGCAAAACCTTTGGTGGCCCTGAGGGTATTTGAACTAGTGATCAATGAGGAGCTAACCCTAGACTTCACGGTTCAGCTAACCATAGTTGTTAAAAGCGTGCCTGATGGGTGCCTAGGCTCTGAGGCTCATAAGGCTCAAGGTCTTGGGCTTTTTTCAAGTTGAGGCTCAGCGCATTCATGAGGCTCACTAAGGCACTGCGCCATGGCTGAGGTGCCTTGTGGGCCTAGGTGTGTCTCATAAAGAGTTACTAAATACCTAGTTAAACCCAAAGATTAAATAAGTTCTCATCTTCTCATCTCCTAGATTTCTTAAAAGAAATGTTATTAAATAGATGACATGAGTCAAATCCTAATATTAAATACCAAGTCCTTAGAACTTCAAGCCTCCTTCTCTATAAATACCTAGATCTTAAAACTTCTTCACGGCTCACGCTTTAAATCCTTCTGCCTCTATCGAAGTACTGTTGGTTGCTGCATTGGAGCCCTTAAAACTTCTCATCTTCGCATTCCTGAGGCCCGCGCCTCAGGCCTAGGCCCTGGGACGCCTAAGTGTGCCTTGAGCCTTATAACAACTTTGCAGCTAACCCAAGACCTTACCTGTTCGGCTAACCCAAGACCTACTTTACCAGTTCGGCTAACCCAGCATCTTACCGGTTCAGCTAACCAAGCCTTTTCAAGTCGGCTAACCCAAGACCTTCCCAGTTGACTTACCCCCAAGGATTTACTAGAAAAAGTTTGTGGCTATATAGATAGTTGAATGATATTGGCATATTAAGCTGCTATAATGTATGTTTGTCTTACGAGTTGAATATGTGCAGGCTGGACTTGCTCTTGGGGATCTGAATTCGGTTAAAGATCTATACGATTTTAAGACGCTATCAGTGCTATTCCTCATTGGATTCATCTCCATATTACCAACCATCTTGAAGAGAAAACGGATATATGAGTAAGTTTTTTCTAGGTCTGTATTAGAAGACAGTTTTTATGGTTGTTATAGAAAATGGAAAATGAAAATGGAAAATGGAAAATGGAAGGATAAAAGAGTATAACAGTTGAATGTTTTTCATTTGGATTGAATAACTGGAAAAAGAAAACAAAAATGATTGGAGAATTCTTGATAGATTCTGAAATATATACAAGGGTGGGTATATGTACCAAGTTGTACTTGTTAGTAGGAGTAAATTATTATTATTTATTATTTATTATTATTATTATTATTATTTGTATTATTATTTCAAACAATTGTTATTTTTCTAACTTTATTTTTAATTTTGTAATTTAACGAAGAGTAAGCTACATATTTGTCCTGTGGTTTGTTGTTTATAATTAATTTCGTCTTAGTAACTGAGGGTTTTTTGTCAATGTGGTTTTTATTTTCTTTTTGATTTTTGTCCCACAAGACTAAGGGATTGTTTACCAAACGCTTACCAGAAATGATACATTGGAAGAATCCGTTGGGTCTTCCAATATCAATAGGTTGATTGTTTCGTTCCTGTATATTCCAAAAGAAAAAAAGATCTATGAGAGTTCTTTCTTGAACCCGAAAGAGAGTACTTGGGTTCTCCCAATAACTAAAAAATGTAGCATGTCTATAAACGCTTACCAAGTCAAATTACCTTACAGATGAATATGGTAAAGACCTAAAATCTTATCTAGTAAGAATGAGGCAGAGACCAAAAGTTTTATTTGGTAAGTGAAGGCAATGACTCTTGCCATGGTTAGTGCTTACCAAGTAAATTGTTGCACACAATGCCGTTCTTGTTCATTAAAATCCTAAGTAGGTGATGAAGTTGAATTTTACCGGAAGTATTTACTGAATAAATGTTTGATAAACGGTAAAAAAAAAATCACTTTTTAAGGTGATTTTATTGTTTTATTTTGTTATCTATTGAAAATCCTAATTTACTCTTTAGTAAATTATAGAGTAAATTGCATTTTTCGCTAACGAACTAGAATGTAGGGGAGAAATAAAAAATTGAAGAAAATACATATGTATCTTGAGGTTGACCTTCTAATCACCAACTAAAGCATAGGGGCACCGGCCCCTATAGCTCTCATAGGCATCCGCCATTGGTGATGACAAATATGGGATGTAAATTGTAACATCCTAAACTTCAGCAGTTTTCAGTCGAAAAATAAAGTTTTTTTTTTGGATCTATTGAGACAAAGGCTCAAAGAAAATGGCTAGCATTTTACGGAAAGCTGCTTAATCTATCGATTTCTCCTCATCTGTCTGTTTCTACGCGGATCGGGATCGGACAATCCCTTATTCCAGCTTTAGAGGAGCATCTTTGCATGAATCAATACTAAGTTCTCAGCCAGTATGAAGTCCTTATACAATATTTGCCTTGTGTAACGCGTTGGGATTATTTGCACTAGCCAGCTAGTGTGGTGGCGAACATGCTGTGCTGTAAGCTAAGCTCCACATTTGCATATAACATGTACTTAATATAAAAGAAATATAATTTACACTACAAAGATCTTATTAGTACAAGAAACTTATGTACATGATTTACAGCTCAAAAATTCCAAATTGCACTAGAACATGTATAACAACATGTATCTTTAAAATACATCAATCAACAGGTTGATCTTCAAAACAACAAATAAGCATATTAGAAAAATAATTACATTTTCCTCTTCCCCTTACTATCCATTGATCCAACTGGACCTGCAATGCATATTTTAAAATACAAAAACAGGGTTAGACCGAAAGGTCTAGGAAGAAAATATCTTCTTTGCAATTACAGGGTGAATATCACCAAACTTGTTAAAATCATCTTTTGCAAATAAATAAATATATTTCAGCAAAAGCTTGCAAATCTGCTTGTTACACAAAGTATAAAAACAAACAAATACATATAACACTTACACGTGCTTCTTGAAATCCTCAACTCTTATTAAACACAAAACCAAAATTCCTCTAGCTTAACGGGCCAGAGCTCATCTGGCTCTTAAGGACCAGAGCCCTTCTCTTATACTAGTCTCTTTAGTTGACCAGAGTCTCTGCTCTTACCAACCAGAGTCTCTGTACTCACACTCCAAATTAAATAAGACTAAATTTAATCAGAGACCCCTTGGACGACCAGAGTCTCTGATCCAACTAGACCAACATTGATTTAAAAGAAAAGAATAATAAGATATAACCAAGCTCTTCTGGTTCATCGCTCCATTTGCAAAAGATATTTAAAAAGATATAGACTTATACAATGCCAAGATTGAGTTTTAAAAGACATAGCTCAGATACAGAGCTCGGACACAGTCACAGAGCTCAAATACACAATGCGGACATACAACCTTCATGATACAGCCTCTGTATACTCATACAGAGCCTTTGGGTTACCATAATCCTGAAAGTACTTGAAAGATTTTCCACACGACTAGAGATCCTCTGGTCTATCTTGAAGACCAACCAGAGTCCCTTTGGGTCTTATCAAATACTCGTTCGTTGATCAATTGTAAATCAAAATGTTTAGATTCCATAAAAACCATTTGAAATCATAGGCAATTAATGCCTCTGGCTATAAGTCGTTTTCCCCTTCTTAATAACATCAATGTGATCATATCAATAAGAGAAATATTTTCAAGTCCTCAAGTCACAAAGAAATGTTGACTTAGAATTATTGCAACTTATGGACATGACAACAAAAGCTATAATAATAATAATCACACTCACAAATGTCACCCTTATACCCGAATGTACACATCTCCTTGATATACCATCCTTATCCTATGGTACACCTCTCCTTGATATGTCACCCTTGTTTCCTCCTCAAATCTACAAATAAATCAGTAGTTTTAGCCAAATGGCCTTAAAATAGTTCCATATCAGAACAGACTTTAAGTCACAACCGTTCTGAAGAAACATTTCTCAACTCAGTATTTCGTTCAAAACAGACTTCACGTCACAACCGTCTTGAAAGAGAACATTTGAACAACTTTTAACTCAGCTATTTCTTTCAAAACAGACTTCACGTCACAANTTCAAAACAGACTTCACGTCACAACCGTCTTGAAAGAGAACATTTGAACAACTTTTAACTCAGCTATTTCTTTCAAAACAGACTTCACGTCACAACCGTCTTGAAAGAAAACAATGGTATATTTTCTCAGTTTACGACCACATTTAAAAGATACAAAAATACCCTTTCTCAATATAGAACATTTTAAAAAGAAATTGTTAAACAACATTTATGAAAACCAAAATTTTTATCTTCACAAGACTTGGGGCGATAACTGCCCTCATCGGCTAACACTATGGCCGACAACACCTCCCTTATCGGACATCATTTGGAGAGATAACGCCCTCACTGGTCACTCTCTGTCCGGATACACTTCATCAAACAACAATATGTCCGGTAACCAACCTCACTGGTCAACATTTAAAAGATAGATATTAAATCGGTTAAAGCTTTGTCCGATGGACATCCTCACTAGACAAGGCTTACCCGATAACAACTCCAATCCAGCCAACACTTGGTCTCAAACATTAAACTCAAACAACACTTGGGGGATGAAAAAGTAAAACATGATACCCATGTCCGATAAGGATCTTCACTAGATAAGGCTTCATTCGATAAAGACCTCATCGGTCAATACATAATAACAACAAACTCTTCACCGATCAAGGCTTAACCGGTAAGGACCCTCATCAGACAACACTATGTCCGATTACAAGCCCTTATCGACCCATGAATTCATAAGAACACATACATATACACACACATACACACACACACACACACATATATATATATATATATATCCATACATCAACAGTTCAAAGTATGAAAAACTAGTATCAAAACCGATTGTTGTAAAGACTCACCTTATGCTAACAAATAACTTTGGAGATAAAAACAACAAATAAGAATCAACTTCCAAATTGATCTCAATCCTAACTTCTATTTTGAGCAGAATCCACACAGATTTCTTTCCTCTTTGTTTTTCTATCTAAAAATAGCAGCCAAAAAGCTTCCTTTCTGTATTCTTTCCTTTTAAACTTTCCTTAATAGGAAAGGCTATTTTTGAAAGAATAAATAAAATATTTCTCCTCACAAAAACCAAGCACCCATGCATGTGAACCATGCATAAAAGCCATGCATATATAATCTATGCATACACTCACATATTAATCCCAGGTATGCATGTATTCACATGATCAATTATAGCAATTGATCACATATTCATGTAACCACATAATCAAATAATTGCATAAACATTACCGTAGGTGTATAACCGGGACCCATATATCACACTATCCATCCCTCAAAAAAATTCCGTCCCAGAATTCATTCAATCAAACAACCACATATATTCAGTTCTCATCTCTGATTCTAACTCCTAGGTTGCCTCTGAACCCTTATGGAAGTGTCATTAAACTCTTACCAGACTGATTTCTTTATTCTATAACACTCTGGTTGTAAATCCCAAAAATTTCGAGTAATAAATAATTTATATTTATTATTATTTTATTATATATGTATATATGTTAAATAAAAATAGAAATTAAAATAAGTTTAAAAATCGGACCAGAAGTGAAAGAAAAAGTCAAGACATGGGTGAAAGTTGTAAATTCGCGATAGTTAAGGGGTTGGGTCAGATGTAAGTAGGTCCAAATCAGAAGGACCTGTTTTGTAATTATGCATCAGACCTGCAAAATCAGGAGGACCTGTTTTGTAATTATGCATCAGACCTGCAAAATCAGGAGGACCTGTTTTGTAAATATGCATCAGATCTGCAAATTCAGAAGTACGAAAACGACCTCACCTTTGAAGCTCCCTATTGGCCTGAATATTCAACTATTACGACAAAAATTTCAATATACATATAGACTACACTTTGCTCTCCATTCTTGCTTCAAGAAAACCACACTTTCGTTGAGAGTCGAAGGAGAAATCGGAGGGTGAAGTTCGGATTCGAAAAGCTCCGTATATTGACGATTGGAGGTAAAATACTCAACCAAATTTCGAGTTCTTTATATGGATGGCTTCGTTTTTAGGTCCTCTATAAAACCTTAGTAGCCTTATGTCTCAGATTTTAGTTTTTGAATGTTCGATTTTGAGTTTTTACTGATTTTCGAGTGGTTTTAAAACCGAAACTTTAAATGAGTAAATGGAACTCATTTCTTAATGAAAATTCGTGTTCTTTATGTCAAAGTGTTGATTATTCATCTCCTTTCTATTCTATGCCTGAATCACTTCTTATATAGGC